CTTTCTAGGTTCAGTGAGGTCATTTACCACTACTAAACAAACAGAACACTAGGCTTGATAGCCTCTCAAAGCCTTAAAAATAAATAAATTTCAAAATTTATCCTCTCTCCAGAGAAACTAGTGGTGAATATTTGCATGGTGGGTGGATTCATCTTCCATTGAGCGATCGTCTCCTTTCTTTAAAGATGAAGAGGATGAATGAGAGAGCCTTTCTTTTCAGTAAGTGGACAAAGAAAGGGCCCAAGGAAGATGCTTTTATTGATGGGTGGTGGGCCTCATTAGCATCCTGGCATTTATATATTTGTCTCGTGCATATCGTGTAGAAATATAGGTGACGATAAATTATTGGTATGTTTAGTAAATTTAATGTTTTAAAATATTCCTGCTTGTATTGAAGTTCGTGACCAAGTCTGGACTACCTTAATATAACTTCCTGTCATGTGGCACTTAGATTAAGTGTTTCTTTAATCATATTAGCCTTCCAGATTCTTATCGATTTTCTGACTTTTGTATTGTTTGTGAAATTTTGTGAGCATCTCCAACTAATAAAAATATTGCGTTTGAAGTTTGAAAATATTCGAGCTCAAGCTTAACTTCTGGAAATATTTTGGAAGGGAAGATAGGAGAGATCAGAAGAGAAAATAGAGAATGATAGAGGGCATCTTGTACTCATCTTGATTTTCTAAAGGGCTGCTTGATTTGAAAAATTAGAAATATATTATATAGGGCTGTTAAAATTGGGTCATGGGTTGGGTTTGGGTCCAACCTGGAATTGACTCGACACTAGTTGACCTACCCCCAACCCGACCCATTTTTGCAAACGGGTCTGGTATTTAAAACCGGACCCGAACTGCTCGGGTTGCCGATTTGACCCGACCAACCCGCGTGAATGGGAGGAAGGCGTCGAGGTTATTCTTATTGTAGCTCTCGTCGAAGCCGTTGGACTGGACAGGTAACAACGTATTCGTTTCGTCATCCCATATTGAGCTTGCCTATGATTTAAAATTCTGATATCCTTCAACCATGGCTCAAGGGGTCCTGCTCCTCCTCCACTATTTTTGACTTCAAATCCAACACTCACTCCTATTTCGGCTCTAATTCCATATGCATCAAGTTGTCCCATCGCGTTAAACTTTATTATTTTTTCTGCTATGACAATTTAGTTCATTCCAATATAATATAAAAAAATATATTTAACTAATTTATTTTGAATTTAACAAAATAAGTTTAAAAAGTCAAACTAATTAATTAGAAGTCACTTGAGATAACATTTCTTTTACTACTTTTAATATTGATTTTATTCTATTTATGCTCTACTTTAAAATTTTATCTTGGGCTCATAATTCTTGTGCTAATAGATGACGGATCTCTTTTCACTCCATTTGTTTAATTAACCACCATAATATTTCTCTCCTTATTTGTTGGATCTTTGTCCCTCAATCATTTATGTGAGACTCAATCTTAAGTATATTATAAAAATTTTCTATTTTCTTTGATTACTAGATTGACAACTTCTCTTTATTTGACTACACAATTTGGGTTTGTCTGCTCTGCCTATTTTCAACCTTCTATTAATGCTATGATCAAAGACAATATTTGTAAAGGTGTTTGGCTTTTTCCCCTATGTGCTGTACGTGTAGTGGGATTGCTTTGACTTGGTAAATAAAGAATTATGCTAAGAATTTCATAGATGATAAGATAATTTGTCTACATATAGAAATCTTAGCTTAATAACTTTAAAATTGTGCATACTTTTTTGTGTTAGAGGGCTTTAAGTATTCTCATGATCGTGGGCTTTGTGATTGTGAAAAAGGAAAGTATTTAATATCTTCATGATGATAATTTTATCTTGCTTGAAAGTCCCTATTACATGCATTGCATCATATTGCCTCCTGCCACTCTATAAAAGTATGATACAAACTTTCTACTTGATGATTATTAGAATATTTATTTCTAGACATAATAGAATTCAGAATAACAAGTTCTTGACTTATGCTTGAGAATTTAATGCTTCATATTATTTATCAAGTAAAATTGAAGTCTTATAAATATTAATAGTTTTCGTTGTTGAGTTGTATGTTCTACAATGACTTGATAGTTGGAATTGTGATTTGGTTATTCTCTATTGGCTAGCTGGGTGATTTTGACCTTTTTGTCATATTCTTCTTTAGGATAAGAACAAGTGAGTTTAACTAAATTGTTCTATCAATCCTTGATGGAGCTCTTTTTTTGCTTTTTTAGTTAAAGTTTCAACATTTGATCTGAATCTCGTTTTAGTTTAATATTATTACTCTTTTATGTTGAGAATTCACATATCTTTGAGTTTTTGTTACACACGTTTCTTTGGATTATTCATTTTCTATAGATCTTGCTATATAATATTGTCTTTCATTTGGATGTTTCTATATTATTGATGGGGTCATTGGGATTCACGTGGCACGATATTACGACTCCGGATATAGAGCTATGTCTGGAGTCCGCACCCAATAAAAATTTCTCAACAGGCCTCATGTCCATGTTCTCTGCTCTCAACTGTCTCCTAAATATCTCTTATATCTGAACAATTTACTTCTGTATCGATGTCTATATTCCATGTTAAGAGATTGAAGTTCCTGTAATTGATTTGGCTCTTCTTTTCAACTAATGCTTTATTTCTGCATACTTAGATATTTGGGCTAACTTTTTTATTGCTTCGTAAAATAAATTTTTATTATAAAAATTTAAATTTGGTATTAAAAAATTGCTTTAAGAAGCAATAAGAAAGACGTTTCAAACGAAATCATAGGCTTCGTTTAGAACGACTTTCTTACCGCCTCTTAATTTTTAATTTAAAAAATTGTTTGAAGAAGAATTAAAAAAATAGTTCCAAAATGAAGTCTTATATATACAGTGATGTATGAGTGTTTCTTCAGCAGTAATAGTATACTCTCTAATAAATTCTAAGAAAAATAAGATATTTATGGACATTTTTTAAGCAAAAAAGAGCATCATGCATTTGCTTATGTGTCTCTCTTACACTGTAAGTTTGCTGAAATCAAAGTTCATATGCTCCCAAAATTATTTTTTGAAGTTTCTAACTAGTTTTTGCCTCGAGATTCGTGCCCGATCAAGATGATTTTGTGATGCCGTATCATTTATGATCATTTTAGTTCCATAATATAATATATTTTTAAATTTGTTCACCGACTATTTACAATAAATTAAAAATAATATTTTTGAGATTAAATTGAGATCAATTTTATATTATAATTATTATATGATGGACTATTTTAAATTAATTTTATATAATTAAAAGATTAAATAAGAGCAAAATAATATTTTGATATTAAATTTATCAAATAACCTGAAGATTATTTTGAAATTTTTTCATTTAATGAGAACTGCTTTATTCTTTATTGTACTAGAAAGAAGCCTCACACGCTGAAGCAGGATGAATAGCTTCATTGTCTCATCTCATCACATCACTACGGAGAGCTTGAATCTATTCTAGAAATTTCTCCCAAGATTCACATCAGTATTCGGAGCTTTAATCTATTCTAGAAATTTTTGTCAATCATTTTATTGAAAAATTTACTGATCTCTTTCCGGATTAGAAGGCTAGACTTTTCTATTTTGCAGGTAGATTGTAAGATATCAAATTTATCATTATCAGTACTGTTGCTTATTAGATTAGAAGAACTATCATTAATCCTAAATCTATTTTTAATGCTATTGAGAAATTATGTTCTAAATTCTTATATTTTGGGATACCCAAGTCAGGAATTGCCTCTCTCTAATGGAAGCCTTGGAATTGCCTCTTTAGGGGCTTTAATGTTTGCTTATAACTGTGGCACAATTATGAGATGTTACAATATACCTTCTCCTCTATTTAACAGGCTTCACACTATTTACATTTCTCCTTGGAACCAATCCAACATAATGCAACAGCCTTTTGGAAAAGTATTTGTCATACTGTTGCTTTGGTTGGAAATAAATTCATATTTGTCATTAGGCAAAACAGACATATTTCTATCTAATGGGATCACTGGTGTTCGGATCACTCTATCACTGACAGATTTTCGGATGTTACCATTTCTTCGGTTTGCAATTCCCATTCTAAGCTAGGTGATTGGATGCAAGGCGCAATACCTGGGTTCTTCTTTTACAGCTGATTGAACCCCACTTCAATGACTTTATTCATGGCATACCAATTTCTCACAATAATTCAAATCACATATGTTGGGATAATTTAGAGAATGCTACTTTCAAAGATTTCTACTTGGAATTTTTTGCAAATGATGTCACTCTGTATTGGCATTTTTGGTTTTGCATAAAAAACACTATTTAAGATACTCTGTATTCTCTTGGATGGCGTTTCGGGGAGGATTGAAAACTATGGATAATCTTTCAAAAAATAATAAAACATTCAAATTCAGGACTCTTCTTTTAATTTTTTGTCAGGATTGCATTGAAACTATCTCTCATTTGATGTTTGAATGTGATTATTTGTTGCTTCCTGAGCCTGATAATATTAAAAAAGGCATGCTATTTATCATAAATGTCACGGTTTACTTCATTTGGTCTGAGCGCAATAGCAGGTGTTTTAATTCCAAAGCTGTGTTGTTACCATTGCAAAAAAGGACTTCTAGAGCTATCTCTCTTAAGATATTTGGATGGAAAAACGGGAAGTTTATGAAGGATAAACTTCACCTGAAACATTGTTGAATTCTCTCTTTCTGTTATTCTTGTCAATTTATCTCTTGCTTTTGGGTTTTGTTGATGAATATGTCTGTGTTTTGTTCTAAATTTGATGTCACTGGGGTGAATTTGTTCGTTTTGCAATGCTATGTTAAGTCCTCTTGCATCTTATGGCTTTTTGGATTATGCGATATTCTGAACTTGTGGTATACTGGGCACTTATGGAAGGTTATGATTATGCATTTTGGATATTGTTAGGCTTTTCTGTCTTGCTGTGTTATTTGCTGCTCATATTGCCATTTGATTCAGAATATATTGATGCCTTTCAGGTCGCCTTTCAATTCATACTATATCGATGCCTCTCGTGCTACCTTAGTTTTGTCAAGCATGCTCAATTTTGGGCTTTGAACAGTAATGAAGCTTGTCTCCCTCCCTTCGGATGGTTTTCGGGCAACCAAGGGAGATTCTGATTCAGATACAATAATATATTATGTAATTTTATGAGTCCAGGTGAGACAGTTTCTCTGTCTGTTTTTGTCCTTTTTTGTTATCTTTTTGGATTATTTTTGACATTTCTTTTCTTGGGCCTCTAGTTTTTGTATTAGTTGTTTTTTTATTTATTCATATTCACCCAATTTTTATATTTTATAGAATGGGCTAAGCTCTCAATTTTTTCAAAAAATAAAAAAAATAAAAAAAAAATTCTCTGTCCAATATTAATATGAGGCGGCGGAAAAAGCACAATTATTTTTAGTAATTGCACAACATATTTTATCTAGAGGGAGATATGGGAATAATGCAGAGAGAAAGCATCCAAACACTAAGTCCAATAACAAATGAATCACCTTTTCTTTCGAACAGACAAGTGCCTAAAAATGTGTGATAATATATCCTTCACTCTCAGTTCATTACATTCTCTCAATTTTATCTTTCTTTTTTTTCTTAGGCTTCATTTGGGATTGCTTTCTTATTGCTTCTTAAAACATGTTTTTAGTATAAAATTATAATTTTTATATTATAAAACTTCTTTAACAACCAGTAAGACTGACCCAAACGAAGTCTTATTTTCTGTGCTAAAGAGATTAAAATTCTTTTCTTTGAAACAATTAAAATGAAAAAAAAAAAATTTCCCGTCTTACTTATGCAAAGTTGGAAAGCATATTAGCTTACGAGATATTTCAAAAAAAAACTTTTTTAATACAACTTATTTTGATCTGTTGGCTGAGAGTTTTGCCTAATCAGATAAATAATTTTATTACAGCTTATAATTAGCCTCGTGGCTCTCTTACTATTTGTAACTTGTCCAATGACCTTGGACCACTTTATATGTGATAGATTTTTATTATTTAACAAAGAGCAACCCTCCAATTTTAGCTTTATATAATATGAAAACGTTTAAGAGTTTTCAAAGTGGGTCAGAAAATTTCATCATCTAGCTGCTGTAGATGCAATGTTTCAGATAAGAAAATTCTTGCTCTGTTTGGCTTCATAGGCTGGTATATGGCTTCAATGATTTGAAAATGTGAATAAGCTACCCATTTGGTTGCAGTGGCTCCTTCTTGCTCATGAAAAAAGCTGCAAGAGCTATTTGCAGAGCAATGGAAGAATCTGAAGGTTTTTTTTTTCAGATTTTGCTTTTAAATCTATTAGCCTTTTCTTCTTCAATGTAGCAATAAACAAGCGAGGAGCTTTCTTTTCTTGTTCTTCTTTACAGAATCTCTTCCATGAATCTCTGGTTTGTTTTAGTGATGAAGTGCATAGGGAACTTCTCAAATAAGAAGTATAGCTCTTCGAAGTTGCTTTCAAGGTACCTTTTTAGCTTCTCCTTCGTACCAGTAATTGGTAAATTTCACAAGAAAAAGGTTGCCTACATTTCTAAAATCAAGATTTCCTTACCTAAAACCAACAAATTTTTACTTAGCTTCCTGTATTTTGTGTTTAATTCATCTTCTTGGGTATATATAGAAATAAGACATTTAGCTCATTTGTAAGATAATTAACAATAAATAGATAATTCAATTGAAAGTTGTAGCTTTACTTTTCTGACCAACGACTTCAGCAAACTCAAACATTGAGTTATCAATATCACTCGATCACATAAGCTGTGTCTTAGAGAATCAAACATTATTAAACTGAACATTGAGTCAATGATGAAGAAACTTATGATTTTGCAATGAATATGTTACATGAATTTTTAATTGATATTTAGGCTTCGTTTGGGATGTCTTTCCTACAATCTCTTAAAATGATTTTTTAGTACAAAAATATTAATTATTGAACTAAAATATTGCTTTAAGAAACAATAAGAAAGGTGTCTTAAATGAAGCCTTAGTTGAATTGAATGTCTTAGAATGACGAAACCAACGACACCAAAATCAATCAAATCCAATCCCAAATCAAGGGTCCAAAGCATATTTGAAGGATTCAAAGCATGATTAGGATTACCAAACAAATTTCAAACATGACATGCTTATAGTCAAATCGAGGGACTTGACGAGATGAATCCAACGAGTCCAAGATAAGAGAATTCTGATATCATTAAGACATTCAAATGATCAACAAACAATCCATAATCTAAGGGGTCAACATCGGTCGTTCATTCCACTCCCATCTTGATCTTGATCCTCCCCATATTTACATGTCATTTCACTCTAAAAAAATTATAAATAGACCCACATTCTTCATATGAAAGGGGAAGAGAAAGAGAAAGGAAGAATTTAGGAACTTGTCGCCGACCATTGTCGGAGTTCTTCCCGACCATCCCAACCACCGCCGGACATCCACTTGTTCATCGACCACCGCAAGATTTCTCTCTGGTTCGTCGACCACCGCCAAGTTCTTCCCAACCAATGTCGAACCTCCGCTAATTCGTAGGCCATTACTGGACTTCCGCCCGTTCATCGACCACCACTGAGTTCTTCCAGATCACTGTTGGACTTCTACTAGTTCGTCGACTACTGCCGAAGTTATTCTCGACCACCGCCGAACTTTCGCATATTCATCAACCACCACCAGACTTCAGCCCGTTCGTCGACCACCGCCAAATTTCTTCCCGACCACCGACATACTTTCGTTTGCTTGTCAACCATGCACCACTGAATTTTCGTCTATTCGTCAGCCACCGCTGGAGTTCAATCGAACTTCCACTCGTTCGTCAACCATCGCTGAATTTCCGCCAGCTCGTTGACCATCACTAGACCTTTACCTGATTCTCCAATCTATTGTAATTCGACCGCCTACAAGTAAAGGGACGAATCAGGCTTTATAATTCATTCAAACTTAGTATGATTTTCTCATTTGGGCTGACCCGTGGTTTTTTCTTTTCGAGTTTTCCAAGTAAACAAACTTCTAAAGTTTTTTTCTCAACTATCTGTTGTTTTGCTGAATATACATATATTACTAAGATGTTTTAGCAATAGGGGTCATAAAATCTAGCATAAGATTAAGAGATGGGTAGTGTTAAATCCGTGATGCAATGAATATCGCATGATTTTGGCATGGTATGAACTATGAAGATAACAACTTAGTACGCCGTGGTTACCAGCGTTAAGAAATGGCTTATTCAAGAAAGATGGAGGTGGATATCAAAGTCCGAATGGCGATGAGGCATAACAAGAACACCCCTGAAGCTATTGGTAAATGACTTGAGTAGGCATTTGGGCAATTGTAGAATCTCCACAACTCTTGATATTTATGTGGAGAGAAATTTTGATCCTTAGCTCAATTACTCTTAAATTTGGTTGATGCCCTAATCTCCTAAAAGTGAGTGTACTTATAGACTTTTGGGAAATTTAATAACCCACTAATTATATAATCTCAATGTAATACCTAAACCCTAATAACAAAAATAAACCACTAAGAAAAATGAAAAGGATGATAAAGGATCACTAAAGACTAATGAATCATATACACAATTCATCTAGAACAATTTATCTATTATGGGTGAAAAATTTAAAAATTGGTTTTTTTTTTTTTTTGTTGAAATCCACAAAGAGGATGACGCGTAAGTTATGAAAAAGAAATACAAATGTACAAGTCCTTATAGGATATAAAGCTCTCTATAAAATACAACATTTGAAGAAAAATATGCGAGCCAAGGAACATATCTATTACATAAGCAAAAGGAAAAAATCAAGAAGGCAAAAACCATAAAATCATACCAACTGCTTGCACAACAAGAAAAAAGAATTCAAATAAAAAATATTATTTGTTTTGGATTTTGTCCGCCTACATTTAGCCACATTCTCGTAGAAACCTTCGTCAACGTTGTAAAAAACATTTAAATCATAAATTGTAAGAGAATCATCCCCATGCACATCAAATTCCTCCCCAACATCCCAATTAGGAGAGGAATCACACTCAGCTAAACAATCTCCTTAATTCTCACCAATATCCTTCGATTTAAATTCTAAGTTAGCAAACAACGCATCATTAGCAACAAGCAAAATGGGCAAATCTATGAGAGACACTTCAACATTTGCATCCATGTTATTAGACCGCAAAATAGGATCAACATAAATGCAAGGTGACAAAGTAGAAACGTTAATATTATCCATAGAGGGATCATTCATATTCATCCGATTAAATTCGCATTGTCCAACTTTCTTAATACGATCAATATGAGAAACATCAACAACATTAGGAGTCTCATTCTGCCCCAAGCCAACAACAATAGGGCTTTTCAAAAACAGGGCAACTAATATATCATGAAAAAAGTATCTTGATCAGGCACGAATCTCGAGGCAAAATCAGGTCGCAAGCTTCAAAAATTAAATTTGGGATCATCTGAGCTCCGATTTCAACAAACTTATAGTCGAACTGAGCGTCTCGAAAATACGAACCCAACGACACCAAATTCAACTCAATCTGAGCCAAAATGTGTCTAAATCGAAGACCCGAAGCGCTGTTGGAAGGTTCAAACCACAATTTGGATTACCAATCGGTTTTCAAACATGACATGCTTATAATCAAATTGAGTGGCTCGACGAGACGAATCCAACGAGTTTAAGATCACCGAATTCCGATATTATTAAGACATTCAAATGTCTGACGAACGGCCCACTATCAAGGGATTCAATATCGGCCGCCATCCAAACCACTCACCATTTGCCCTTGATCCTTCTCCTATTTATGGGTCATGCCATCTCAAAAAACTATAAATAGCCCCTCATTTCTCTTAAGAGGGGACCCAAGTAAGCAGAGAGGAGAAGAAGAAGAAGAGAAGAGGAGGAGGTAAGAAGCTCCTCCTCGACCACCGCCGGAGTTCCAACCGACTTCCAAATGACACTAGAATTCCGCCCGACTTTCAAGTGACGCTGGAGTTTCCCCCGACTTCCAAGTGATGCCGGAGTTCCGCCCAACTTCCAAGTGAGGCCGGAGTTCCATTCAACTTTTAAGTAACGCCGGAATTCTACCCGACTTTCAAGTGAGGCCGAAACTCCGCCCGATCTCTAAGTGACGCTGGAATTCTGTATAATCTCCAAGTGACTCTGGGATTCAGCTCGAATACACAATTTGTTTGTAACTGAATTTCAATCCATGAGCGAATCATTGTAATTTGATTGTCCTAAACTTTAAGGATGAGTCAGTCTCTTATACCTCAAGCAAACATTAGTTGAATTCTTTAAACTGGACGTGGCCCCGTGGTTTTCCCATTTACAAGGTTTTCACATAAAAATCATGGTGTTTTATTTCTCTTATGCTGAGATATAAAATTATAACTCTATCGTCGCATATATTTTAGCCCGCAACAAAGTCAATTAACCGTCATATGAGCTGGAGGTGAAAAAATCAGACGATAACAACCAGCGGGCGCTAGGGAAAGAAAGAAAACGAATTTAAATTTTGTATAAATAATGCAAAAAACGTAAGACAGATTAAGAAAAAAATGATGCTTTCGTATTCCTTGACTTAAATTTGGTAGAAGTTTCCCGTAATATTTCATGGATTAATTTTTGTCACACTATAATTTGACTCGAAAAATTCAGATTCACGTTGATCTATTGGATAAATGACTTGGATTCTGATTATGTTTTTTGGTCAGTTTAATAATTGGGTCTGATTTGGGTTGATCACAAATCCGCTTTTGATTCGAAAGTGACATGTTTAATATCTTTTTTTCTTAATTTTTTTATGCGTAGATATTATTTATTATTTTTTATTAGATATTTTAAACTTTATAACTAACAAGTTATTAAAAAAAAAACTTTAAAATTTTAAAATCAAAATAGATTAACGGGTTGGGTACCTGTCACTCGGGCTGCCGGCGAGTTGGATTCAGATTGACATTTTTCACCTGTTAATTAAAAGGATTAGATTTAGATTGACCATATGCGGGTCAGATAAATATTAGGTCAAACACGAATCTGACCCATCAATCTTTATTGACACCCCTAATCATTCATATTTAAAACTTGATGCAGGGATTTGTTATAGCCACCTCCCTTTAGCCTCCGAGCGATAGTTTCTCTCTATCAAGAGATAAATGTCTAGCAAGCAGAAAGTAAGTGTTGAGAGAAATAAGATTCTCTCTATAATCTTCTTGTGATTCGTTGGTGACAATGAGAAGAAAACAATTGGATTAAGATTTTATTTTGAAATTAACACTTTATATAAAAAATTTTAAATTACACTAATCAGTAATTAAATCTAAGAATTTCAAACTCATTTTAATATAAATTATACCAAAATGTTATTTAAATAATTTTTTAACTTATAAGAATTCATCATAGATGAAGTTATAATATCTCCAAAACTATAATTGTTGCGGACTAGAATATAAGCGGCGATAGAGTTAGGAATTTTCAT